TAAATTCGAATTTATCACATGATAAGCCGCATTAAGCCGCAGCAAGCCGTGATAAGCCGGCTTGTCTTTGAACACTAACAACTCGTGTAACTACTCACCCGGAAAAATTGATATATCTTATGTTACTGTATTATAAATTATATATATCATTATTACTAAACTAAAAGGAAAGAAGTATGGGTACACTTTTTAATGACACTGATTCGACAGAAAGTAAACTCACAAGCAGTAATAATGATAAATCAAAAGAAATAGAAGATCTTTATACTGATAAAATTCGAGATGGTCAATGGTTTTGGAACACAAATACCGAACAGATCTTTTCGGAGGATTCAACAATAGTAGCAGTTGGCCACGCTTCAGCAAAATCAATTGTTCCACTTGAACTTTTACGATATATATATTTACAACCTCACGATCGAATATACGATCCTAAAACACATACAATATCTTACCTTCAAACAAGAACTTATTTACCTGTAAAATCTTTACCACCGAAAGAAAAAAAGAGAATATTGGTTACTGGTGGAGCTGGTTTTGTTGGTTCACATTTAGTAGATCGACTAATGTTAATGGGCCATGAAGTAATTGTAATCGATAATTTCTTTACCGGTCGTAAAAACAACGTTGCTCATTGGATTGGACATCCAAGCTTCGAACTTATTCGTCATGATGTCGTTGATCCTTTCTTAATTGAAGTTGACCAAATTTATCATTTGGCTTGTCCAGCTTCTCCTCCTCATTATCAATATAATCCGATCAAGACTGTAAAAACTAGTGTAATGGGTACAATTAATATGCTTGGTCTTGCTAAGCGTGTAAAGGCTCGTTTTTTATTAACTTCTACTTCAGGCATGTATATCACTTATGTGATTTATCCTTAAATACATCTTTCATATAATTTCATTTAGAATTTACGTATTTATTAATGAACTTTATACGATAATTGTTTCTTAGAGGTCTATGGTGACCCCGAAGAACATCCTCAAGCAGAAACTTATTGGGGTAATGTTAATCCAATTGGCCCAAGAGCATGTTACGATGAAGGAAAAAGAGTCGCAGAAACATTAACCTATGCTTATATGAATCAAGATTGTGTTGATGTTAGAGTTGCACGTATTTTTAATACTTTCGGTCCTCGTATGAACGCAAATGATGGCCGTGTAGTGAGCAATTTTATCATGCAAGCATTAAAAGGCGAAGATCTTACAATATACGGTGATGGTTATCAAACTAGATCTTTTCAATATGTACATGATTTAGTGGATGGTTTAATTTTGTTAATGAATACTGATTATAAAGAGCCAATTAATTTGGGGAATCCTGATGAATATACGATACGTGAATTTGCAGAGTTGATTATAAATGAGGTTAATACTTCATGTAATATTAAAACTTTACCAGCTCCAAAGGACGATCCTAAAAAACGAAGACCGGATATTACAAGAGCTGAACAAATTCTTGGGTGGAAACCTAGATGGCCTGTGAAGCAAGGCATTGGAGAAACTGTTAAATATTTTCAAAGGCAATTAGAAGCAGGCCTCATATGAGTCATTATGTGTGTAATCGAATGTATAATAGTACTACTTTTTTTTTTATATTACAAATTTTTTGTATTGGGCAATTCCTCAAATTTTGTTACAACTGTTGATCAATTGAAAATTCCTTGTTTAAATAAATACCCCCCAAAAAAAGAAAATAGTTTTTTTTTTCTTTTGAATGTCATTAAACATAAGATCTAAGAAATAATCATTTTTTAGCACCCCATAAACTACCAAAGAAGCCACCAAAGCGGCCTGATCCATCTTGTTTTCTGCCTGCACGCTGGGATAGAGATGAAGGGAAATCAACATGATTGAAGGCTATGTCAAAAAATAATGGTTTGGCAGGAATTGGTGTAAATTCCGGTGGAAAATTAACTAATTGCGGGTTATTCATTGTTAAATTTGATGGATATTGATTAAGACGTTCGATCAAAGGTGACTGGGGAAAAAAAAAATTGAATATTAAAACGTGTCAATATCAAAATATAAGACTTTCGAAAATTAGGATTACCTCTTCATCTTTGATTTCTTTAGCATCAGGTTTAGACTTTTCATCAATTGTCAACTCGCCCAATTTTTTTGTTACGTCAGAATCATCTGATCCACTATGACGAAGATGCCATGTTGCACGTGCCTTACACCTATAACTTCTAATAATATTTTCTAATTCTTCGACTTCCTTTAAAGTAACTACTAACACGTCATCTTTATCAGGTGCCGTTACTTGGGACAAAGCACTTCTTGCTTGAGAGTTGTACTCTCTGGCGCGCCCAAGTAGAGATATTGCTTCCCAATCTTTGTTTAAGACTGCATAGGCGGAAGCAACATATAAAGTCCTGACAAAACACAGGAATCACTAAGGCATAACTATTTTTGGAAAAAAATAATAATAAAAATTATTTAACTTTAAAATACAAACCTCCAAGCTTTAAAATTCCAAATCTTTGCGTCAACTTCTTGAGACAAAGTTGAATTATCCTGTACTGAAGAGAGTTCTTTAATCTCGTTTAAACTCTACAAAGAAAATATCTAGGTTAATATAATAATAATAATAATAATAATGCAGTCGTCCTTCTCTATAATCACACGGTTTGTTTCATAAAAAGATATTTTAATAGTAATGTGATTGTATAAAGTTTTTTTAAATAAATAAATTGCCAATAATTTTTCAAAAAAAGTGCTTATAAAGAGGGTGTGACTATATATAGGAGGTGACTGTAGAGGAGGACGACTGTAATAATAATAGTAAAAAGAATAAGAATAAGAATAAGAATAATAAGAATAATAAGAATAATAATAATATAATAATAATAATAATAATAATAATAATAATAATAATAATAATAATAATAATAATAATAATAAT